TTTTTAATTTGCATATCTTTTTTCGTCACTTTCTTCTCGTCCTTGTCCTCGTCGTCGTCGTCGTCCTCCGCATTCCTTTCTTTTACAGATGCGGCATCGTCTGAAGTGGCACCGACTCCGTTGTTTGCCCGAAGTGGAATTCAGAGCTCCTTTGAGCACACCCCAGTGATGGGTTCACGTGACGCCCTCTTGCCCACCTCCTGCACGCCAAGCAGTGCTCGAAGTGTCAATGGACTGCCACACTCGGGCCAAAAGTCTGCCAAAGTCACGTGGGTCAATGAGCCATCGTTTCGAGGTCATCCACACACCATCATCATTGAAGGCGAGGTGAATGCGGATGCGCCTTCTCCCTCCCACCTCTTCTCTCAGCACCGCTACGTTTGACCTGTGCTTCTCCACTCCTCTCGCCCCATCCCTGTCCTCTCCTCGCTCCTCTGCCTCTTTCTTTGTTGCCGTTTTGACGTCTTTTAAGTGCAATCCCGTTTGTACAGACGTTTGACTACTGACCTCACTCAACGTGATTTTTAATGGCTAGACATCTCCATGTGACCTCTTATCTGGGCTTCCAATTCTTATAAGTGAGCATGACTAGTTTGTTCTTCTGTCCTCCCTCTTACCTCCCCGTCTGTAATATAGTGCAAAGTCCACTTGTTAATAAAGTCGCTCCGGAACCACCTTGATTAAGGTCTACAAAAATGACTCGTTGCCTTGGTTACTAGGAGGCACTGACAGCCACGGAGCTGTGAGATCGGTGGGGAGCTGTACGACGATGTGTGCCGGCAAAGTGTTCTCTTTTTCGACCTCCAGAGTGCTCATGTTGGCGAAGTTGATTGGATGAGTGCAGCAGAACCTACACATTCCTGGGGCAACTGTCTGTGTTAGATGGATTTCTTGGGACTTGGCGACATCTGATCATTAAATTACACCAAATTTTGCACCTTTTAAGGTTGCGTAGCTGAAAACGAAAGAGCAGAAGGTAGAAGAACAAAACACGAAGCTAATAAGTTCGCTAAATGGTTGACGGCAGTCAAATGCCATGTGCTTAGAATGTTAGCGCATCCAAATCATGAAGCCTTCAAATTCCACCACCTCCAAGGTGAAGGCGATTTTAAATTTCAGGATATGACTATTAGCCATTTGGCGAAAGCAGAAGATAGGCCGACTCTACAGCACAAAGCAAATGGCGTCCCAACTTCGGGTACCGTTATCGTCTACAAGGCCTTTTTATGTCTGTCCACGAGACACAGCACCTCTAGTTGGGTTAGAAGCCGCCATGCCTCTTGAAGATGCGGCTCTGCAACACTTAACAGGTAGAAGAAATTAAATACGTGGACGATTAATCAACACATCTGATTCCTCGGCTATCACTTTCGAGGGGATTCGACTACTAACAGCTGATTGGCTAAACAGTTGATGTCGCTGCTATGGCGCAGCCTTCGCCTCGTCTTAGACACTCCTCCACGCAACAATCACTTTTCAAGTTCGAACTGAAGACTCCAATGCATTCCCATCCCATTGGGGAGTAAATAAATATCCCTGTAGATGGTCTCCTTCGTTCTGGCTTCTCAGTAAGGGTTGGTTTCAGACTTTCTTATCTTATAGCGTCGTTAAGAGCAACTTGAGCATTCCAGTAGCAGTAACCGGCTTAACTTTCTATAAGAAAGCTATGCGATGTCCACCACCAAGTCCGGTTTCCCAGTCCCTATCACAATTTGACTTCGCTTGTAGCCTTGCAGATCGTTCTATCACCTTTGACCTACATTCTTGGCCATTGGATGACGCTTTTCACCCTGACGGTGGCTCGATAATAAGGGGGATGCGAGGCAGGGCTTGAAGAGGGGAGAAATTGAACAACCACTATAATTTTACATTTATCTGTGTTGACCCCTTAATCCCCAGAGAGCTTGGCCACCGTCATGGAGTCAAATCGTCCGAATACAAGCTTCTCCTTCGTACCCTAAAGGAGGCAAATGAGACCAGCATCGTTTCATGATAAAGAACAGTTCGATTAGCTTTGGTTCGCAAAGTTTGCTCTTACCTTCTGATGGCTCCCACCGCAGTGCTCGCCGTACCTAGCACAACCTCGGCACCTGGAGGTAAAGCGTGCTGTTTTTTAAGGACAGCAAAAACCTCCTACGATTTGAATCGGCCTCTATCCTTAAGTCAGACGTCCCAAATCACAAGTATCGCTTCACTATCTCATAGAGGTGGGTTTGACACGCTTCGTGGGCTCCGCTTGTGTGGACTGGAGCCAAAAGGTGCCTTGACCCTCCACCCACCCTCATTACAGAAACTCGTAAAATGCCACCAAATGTTGCACGGAAAGCAAATCTGCATACTCGTAAATGACTGGCAGAAATTGATGTAAAGTCATCTAGAATGACCAGATGAAGGTACGAAGACCCCAGCAGAAGAGCAGTTCCTTGTTTTGTCATGGACGAGGTGTAAATTTGAGGCTCTCCTAATGTTAAGATTAAGAGGCGAAAAGTAGAGGTGTTAATGCCATCGTAGTGGAATGTAGAACAATCACATTGAAGAGGACAAATTTTGACGTATGTCTTCAATTAAGGGTTGGTTTTTCAGCACAATTTTCTTCCTTGCTAAAAGGCCTATCGTAAAGCATCTCAATGAATGCAGTAAGAAATTGTCATCGAGAAGCTGTAAGTGGATTCGGACAGTGGTCTGACAATTTAATTCCGTGCTTTAACGAACCGGGAAGGGTCGTTATTCGAGAGGGGAGAGGGCGTGGAATCCCACAGGCCATCCCTCGCTCGACCAGACCCTTAAACAGAGGCACAAAATTGGAACATAGAGGTGGTGCCCATTTCAACGCACCGGCAACTTTACTTGGCAGTCGAAGTAGTTTTTTTGTTTTTGGCAATGCCGTCTTAACTCCTCTTCACACACTTGCTAAATGTTTTGTCTGGAATAGCCTTGGTGGCATCATTGCTGAAATTTAGGATAGGAAGTGGAAAATCGCAAGTCCCATAGGAAAATATTAAATTTTAGACTTGGTGGAAGCCGTGATTTGTTGATGACTGGATAGTCTGTCCTTAAATGCAGACAACAACGTTAGTAA